CTATGCATTGGAGCAAATATTATTCAGTATGAAGAACAGGTAACAAGTATAATTTAATTATTAATAAATTTTACAAAGTACAATGAAATAATTTCAATATTTTTTATTAAAGCAATGGGTTAAAGTATATCGAGAGAAGTTAGAGTCTGTTACAGTTAGTCAAGATTATATTAAAGATGTTGTTATAAAAACTGTACAAAGGTAATTTTAAAGTATATAATTTATTTTGATTTGATAACAGCGTATTCAGTTTGATTCCTAAAAATTATTACATAATGTTGAATTTATATTTTTCAAAATAATAATGATAATTTTATTCTAACAAATTATTTTTAACTTATTTTCCAAATAGTTATTGTCCTCTGACAGGATGGTTAAATTTCAAGCAAAGTTTATTTCATGAAAAATGCCATAATTTATTAGAATCTAATAAAAATTTGCAAGATAAGTTTTGTTCAGATATTAGATATGAACTATGTCAAAATGAATTAGAAAATCAACAAGCTTCTTTACAAAGAACTGATGGTGATTATAGTTTTACAGTTAGTGATAGTGACATAAATTTACTGAAAAATAAAATTGAAGAACTTGTAAATGAAATATGTAACTGTATTGAGACATGTGTACTTATGTTGGGATTAATATATAATAAACTACAAAGTGAAATTAATGAAGATATTTGCTACAGAGTTGTTGAAGATATTATTCTTATTCCCATTTGGGAATATTTGATATTATTATTTAGGTAAGATTGTTTATTTTTCTTATTTTACCATATATCATTATTAATATTAAATTTAAATTATACATTTACAAATTTTTACATATTTCAATTAAATTTCTAAGTGAAATAATTATTAACACTTATCACTTTGTAATTTTAAATGCAAAAAAATAAGAATTTGTTGATACATGCTTCCAATAATAAATAATTATAATTTGAATAAAAATAATAGTCAAAACAGGAAAAATAAATGTCCATTTTAAAAATTAATATGAATAATTATTTTATTGAATAAAAAACTGATAAAGTAAAATAAATATTAAATAAATTGTAATTATAAGCACTTTTTTATTACAAAGGTAAATGATATATAAAACTTAAACCATTAAGGCAATCATACTATTTTTTGTGATGTGTGATTGCTTTCAGGATTGGGATTTTCGAATTCAAATTTTCAAATTTAAGTATTTTAACACCAGGATTTGAATTTTTTTATGTCAGAATTGTTTTTGGGATTCTTCCAAATATTGCATGAACTTGGGCATTGACCTGCTCAAGATCACGTGATATTTTTTGTAAAAAATTATGTTGAGCATGCAGTTATTTATTGTGACATCATCACAATGCCAGGCTGTAATTTTTAATCATATTTTTAATTTATTTAATTTAAATGCTCTTCACCTCAAATTAGTAGTGGCTTGACCCATACCATTTCCTTTAACAATAGTTAAAGGAAAAGTATAATGTACAGAAAGGAAAAGTATTGATGTAGAGTCATGCCAGTCATCTATCTAATACCTTTCAGGGGAAATTTTTGAATTGAAATAACGTGACTTCCAGTTTGCATTGGATGTTTTGATATAGTTAATTGGGGCCTCCTGCCCTAAAGTTTTCATATCTGGTTCACCTTTCATTTAACTCCGTTCTTGAGAGATTGAGAAAAGATGGACAGACAGACAACAGTGGGAATTTATAGGTCTACAATTTTTCCAAATTGCAGCCAAATTACACTAATTTTACACTGGCCAAAATGAAACATTCCAAATTTTAAATTTCAATGTTTATTTCAACAAAAACTTTCATATCTCTACTTTAGTTTCACTTACATTCTATTTATATTTAATACATAATTTAAATTATCATATAGCAATACATACATACATACATCTAAAAACATACATACACCAAACATCTTAAAATAAAGATTGGTATAATGATGCAATCTTTAATTTCAGATGACTATTTGGCTGGTTTTTTTCTTTCAAATATCTTGAATTAGTTTATTACTTAAACTATTTTTAAACTTCAATCATTTTTTAGTTTCAGATGACTTAATTTGTTGTGATAGTTTTTTTTAACTTCCTTTATCAGACTGGTTTTTATATATCAAATATTGTATATAATTAACTATACAGTATATAGTGTGAATTTATATTCTTGGTTATCTGGTTGGTGCTAAATTTCAATAGTCTGACTTTGTAATTTTTTTTCTGGTTAGTCAAATTAATGACAATTTGTTATCTGACTATTTTTGATATTATTTAAATTTTCATTGTATTTAATGTATAGTTTTTACTTTTTACACTTTTATAGATGTACGAATATTGAAATTGAAACAAAGATTGCAAACACAATGAAAAAATGTTTCAAGTATGAACCTAATGGTTTTGGTTTGAAAAGGCCATTAAATAAAATTGCATTACGTTCCTATGCTGATTCTATATCAAAGTTGAAATCATCATCATCTATAAAATCACCAGTCTCTAAATTAAACTTATTTGGTAACTATCATTTTTTAATTATAGTCGATAAAAAGTGTATAATTTTGTAAATATATTTTTAATTATTTTGGATAATATTTCAGTGCAGACAATACAGAAAATTTGTGAAAATCATAAAACAGATGATAATGGGTGTCCTGTAACTCCTATTCTTTTGTAAGTAAGCATGTATATAATATTTAATATATTGTATAGTTATCCCTTGTATAACACAGTAGTTACATTCTGAAAAAGTGCCATGTTATGCAAATATGTGCTATACAAAACATGGGGTTAGGTTCCAAAAGTTAATAAAAGCTTATTATTTTTTTCATTACTCAGAAAAATATGTTTATTAAAGCAATTAATAATTTATTTTCAATCAATAATTAATTAACAATCACAATTAAAAGTACTGTGTTTTACACTTTAATACTAATTTTAGTTAAACAAGGGTTTTTTACAAAATATTGTCATCTTTTGAATTTCTTTTATTGTTCTTGATCAGAAATATCAGTAGCATCTTCATTTCTTTTATTTTTATCATAAAAAAATTTTTTTATGGATGATAAAATAAAAATATGTTATTAATCAAAACTTTGTTCTAGTGAGTCATATTTGTTCAGTTGATTACAGATTTGATTGTTTCCCAGAATTTGTGTTTGAATACTGAATTGTTCAAGTTGGAACATTTCAAATATTGAAATACTACTGTATTTTATTTGTCATTTTTATGAATACTTACTACCTGTGGTTAAAAAAGTTTGATAACACTTACCTAAACATGTTTAAATAATCTTCACTAAATATGAAGATTAATTTATAAAAACAAAACACAGTGACAGTCTTAGAGTCTAGTCTGAAAGCAATGACAATGACACTACTTGAAGGGAATCTAATTAATAGATGAATAAATATTGATGCATACATCAAAATATAAAATTTACTTTTTCTCTAATGCAAAAATCTATTTTTATAAATTATTTTCCAGCCAATAATAAGCATGTAAATTTTATATTATTTCATACAAGAAAATAACTGATTTTAAAATATCTTTGATTTTTTTTTAATGCAAATGGGTTCCACATACATTGATATATTGTAAATGGTTATCAATGTTTTTAATTTCTAAGAAACAACAGATTTGACCAAAGATATAAATTTTATAATAGTTTATTTTGAATTTAATTTCTTAAATTTTCAGAGGAGCTGATGACCTCTTACCAATTCTTAGTTATGTTTTGGTACAAACTGGAATGCCTCATTTACTCTCTGAATGTGAAGCATTAGAACAATTGGTAGATCAGAGGTATAGTTTTGCTTTTCTTTTATTATTATTTTTTTAATGCATATGCCAAATATTAAATTGCCTTTCTCTTTCTAGATTGTTATTGGGTGAAGAAGGCTATTGTTTAACTTCATTTCAAATGGCTTTTAAATATTTAGAATCCCAATCTAATAAAGAAACTTTTATTTAATTTAAATGATTAAAAGTTCTATTATACTAAGTAAACATATAATAAAAACTATTACATTGATCTTTATTGAAGTATTCTAATTTTTTTCACAAGAAAATATAGAAAATATTAAGTTTAACAAATGCAACCAATTAATGAATAATGTAGATTTTAAAAAATAGTTCATCTTAAACATGCGATTATTTAATAATTGAACAACAAAGACACAGGGAATGTCATAAATTACAGCCTAATATTTTCCAAATTTTGATCCCCTCTCCCATTTTGGTGACTGTGGCCAGACAAGTGGCCCTTACCCATAAAATCACAAAGTCTAAGAAAGCCAAATCTCCCAAACAAGATTACCAGATGAAATTGTAAGTGTTCCCTAGATTTTTATCCAAAAGTCATCTGGATTTCCTTAGACAATATACTATTGTGGTAACTTGAACACCTTAAATACTTTTTTCAGCAACACTATAATTTATTTAATTAAACAAACATTTTCATTAAAGTGTTGTTCAAACTAAATTAATTTTAGTTTATATAGGTGTTTTTTTATGAACTATAGTTTTTTATGAACTGTACTGTAATATTGATTGCATACTTAGAGGTTTATACAAATGGCATTAATTACATCAAATAATAGTGATACTAATATAAAGAGTTTGGTGGAAAAATCTGTTGAGTCACAAACTTGAGTTTTCTAGACACAGTCATATTTTTAAAATTATGATATCTCCTAGCTGCAGTGGCATAGTTACATAATTTTTTCTTCCAAGTAAGAATTTTCCTGCATAGCACAGTAATCTTATCTATTTTCATTTGAAAAAATTATTAAAAATTTGGACATGACATGTTTTTCTTTCGAAACCTTGGACTTGCCATATTTTTTTATTCCACATGCTTTTCATTTAAGATTTTTCCCTAGATGTTATTAATAAAGCAATAAGACATTGCATGTAAATTCTGCTTTTTATTTTCTTTTTCCAGTAAATATTTAGTGTTTGTAAACATTTTAATCTTTATACAGTCATCACTAATCCCAGTGTTAGCAAACAAGTTACAATAATTACAGTCCTGTTTATTAATAATGCTCTTCAGGGTCATATGCTCCACCAGATAATGGATGTCCTTGAATTTTTTATCATTAATTAGGAGGTAGCCGATTAATGATGGTCTCAGAAGGAATGTAATTTCTTCCTTTCCTTGTTTACATGAGTTAAATTCAATGTCATAATTTCCAGTCATTATTTCTGTAGCTAAAATGGTTTTTGAGTACTTCTGAAATACTTAGTGTTGCAACTTTATTACAGCCAAATTTTTTCATGAATCTTCCCTTTAGCTTTCATAACAGTTTTCAGACTTTTCCCCCTTCTTTTGAAAAGGTGTGAAACTTTGGCCAATGGAAAGTCTTATGCACTAAATAACTGATTATTTGTGGATTTTAAAAAGGCCCAAATGATAGTAGACAGAAAAAACAATCTGGAAAAAAATAGAAAACAAAAAATAATTTAATAAAACTGATGAGAGATAAAAATTTGTTTAGAGGGTTCAAAATGCAGAATAAGAGTAAACAGACAAATATTTGAGATGTCTGAGATAAAATCTGGTGTGAAACAGAGTGAATATCTATACTTACAGATCTTTTATTTATTACCAGAAAAAATTAAGAAAATTGCAATAATGAATGCTGGAATAAAGCTAGGTAAAAAATAACTCAACATCTTAGCTTACACAGATAATAATGGTTTTATTGACATTCCTGGCAAAAGGAATGCCAGTAACTTGGGGGTTCAGGAAAATTGAAAAAATTCTGATTGATATTCTGTTTTTCAACCACTGCTAGGCCTATACTACGTTTATGTGACAAAAGCAAAAGCATATATTATGTATACTGCATATCGGCACTGTCTACTAAGTTGAGGGAACATACAACCTCCTAGCCCCATAATTATGGTCCCATTTATTGATGAAAATATACGAGACAAAACACAAGAAAGGATAAAATTGGCAGGACTAGAAACCAATATCCACTAAACTAAATATCTCCTCCTATAAACAGATTTAAAACATGAAATAATTAACTACACATATGTATCAATATATTTATCTACTTATAGGGAGATATTGGTAATTGGTGTTTTGAAAAGTAAATACTTTCAGGTAGAAAGTATTGTACAATAAGGCAATATGATAGAAGAAATTTTACCGACGATATAAGTAGGAAATAAAGCTAGATTCTCTCTAGGAAAGATAAAATCAAAGCTGTAATCTAAAAATCAAAATTGGAAGTTAAAAAAAAGGTTAATTCGACCTGTGATTTTGTATGATGACCTTAGAAAAGTTCTAAGGAAAATTTTTTTGATCAGTTAATTAAGTAAACGAAAAATAGAAAAGAAACAGAACTGTATAGGGAAACAGACATTGTAACTATTATCAAAAGATAAAGGTTATAGTGATACGGTCAGGTAATGAGATAAAGACCTAATAGGCCTAAATGCTATAATAGAAGACTAATCGGAAAAGAACATGAAATACTGAATTAAGATGGTCACGCTCATTAGAAACGAATACAAACACTGCAGAAATTGACATGAATGTATAAAGAGAAATGGAAAATGCATATGGACAGGGACTCGAGAGGAAGGAGCCTGGGGGTTTTTCCGGGAGAATACTCATGGCCATAGTGATTCCTACTCCTATAAAATTAATGCTATTTTTACTAACAAAACAAAATCTCTGACTAATTTTTATTATTAAAGAAACAGTCTACGTATTTTTTTCAAAAAAGAGGCCTGCTTTACCTCCGGGCCCCTGCAAGTTAGCGACGGCCTTGCTTGTGGATACCACAATAAACCAACTCCGTTCTAAGCAAAGCTTAATTTTGTGTGACAGTGTAACAACAGTTATTTATATTTTTCCAGTTATTAATAAAACTATTAATATAACTAAGTATATTGCAGCAGACAATTTATAAGTCAATTTGAAAATGATATCGCTACAATATTTACCGTTAAGTTAACAAATGCAAATAAGTAGTTAAAATTATTAGTGAAATAAATAATAATTTAATAGTTTTGCAGTAAATTTATATGAAAATTTTTTCTAAAATTGTTATTTTCTGTCCATATCTTATTTTATTCGAAAAATCATAAGAAATATGCATTTTTGATTAAATTATGGAATTATTCAGTATTTACAATTTCCATTCAACAGTACTACAGTGGCCACGTTGATTACTAGATCTGTTCCGGCGAACCATTGATGTCACGCATCAAAGTAATCCTTTAGTTCATCTGAAGTCAAGTGAAAGAAGAAAACGCATTTTTTTATTATATATATATATATATATATATATATATCTAGAATGTCTATACATATTCTAGTGCAGAATCGTCTGACGAATTTAATGGCATATAACGTTTTAATCTGTGACTGTAACTTTTAGAGATATCGCGGTTTATATCATCAAAATATGATTATTGTGGTTATTCATCATTTTCCAATAGCAACTTGTATACTCGCGTCTAGACTGAACATTTATACATATATCTAGAATTTCTATACATATTCTAGTGCAGAATCGTCTGACGAATTTAATGGCATATAAATTTTTAGTCTGTGACTGTAACTTTTG